TCCGGTTCACACTTAGTTGCTTTTCTACTCGTATGAATGTGTTCCACTAGTTCTTTGTCAAGTTCAAACATGTGTTGATGTTCCAGTTCTCACTTAGTTACTCTTCTACTCATGTGTGTATGTTCCACTAGTTCTTTGTTAAGCTCAAGAATGTATTGATGTTCTGGTTCTTACTTAGTTGCTCTTGTACTCATGTGAATGTGTTCCACTAGTTCTTTGTCAAAGTTCAAGCATGTGTTGATATTCCGGTTCACACTTAGTTGCTCTTCTACTCATTTGAATGTGTTCCACTAGTTCCTTGTCAAGTTCAAGCATGTGTTGGTGTCTGATTCTTACTTAGTTGCTCTTCTACTCATGTGAACGTGTTCCACTAGTTCAATCTTCACTTTGTCAAGTTCAAGCATGTGTTGATGTTCCGGTTTTTACTTAGTTGCTCTTCTACTTATGTGAATGTGTTCCACTAGTTCTTTGTCAAGTTCAAGCATGTGTTGATGTTCCGGTTCTTATCTAGTTGCTCTTCTGCTCATGTGAATGTGTTCCACTAGTTCTTTGTCAAGTTCAAGCACGTGCTAATGTACCGATTCACACTTAGTTGCTCTTCTACTCATGTGAATGTGTTCCACTAGTTGTTTGTCAAGTTCAAGCATGTGTTGATGTTCCGGTTCACACTTAGTTGCTCATCTACTCATATGAATGTGTTCCACTAGTTCTTTGTCAAGTTCAAGCATGTGTTGATATTCTGGTTCTTACTTAGTTGCTCTTCTACTCATGTGAATGTGTTCCACTTGTTCTTTGTCAAGTTCAAGCATGTGTTGATGTTCCGGTTCTTACTGAGTTGCTCTTCTACTCATGTGAATAAGTTCTATTGGTTCCTTGTCAAGTTCAAGCATGTGTTGATGTTCCGGTTCTTACTTAGTTGCTCTTCTACTCATGTGAATGTGTTCCACTAGTTCCTTGTCAAGCTCAAGCATGTGTCGATGTTTCAGTTCTTACTTAGTTGCTCTTGTACTCATGTGAATGTGTTCCACTAGTTCAATCTTCACTTTGTCAAGTTCAAGCATGTGTTGATGTTCCGGTTCACACTTAGTTGGTTTTCTACTCATGTGAATGTGTTCCACTAGTTCTTTGTCAAGTTTAAGCATTTGTTGATGTTCCGGTTCACACTTAGTTTCTCTTCTACTCATATGATTGCGTTTCACTAGTTCTTTGTCAAATTCAAGCATGTGTTGATGTTCCGATTTACACTTAGTTGCTCTCCTACTCATATGAATGTGTTCCACTAGTTCTTTGTCAAGTTCAAGCATGTGTTGATGTTCCGATTCTTACGTAGTTGCTCTTCTGCTCATGTGAATGTGTTCCACTAGTTCCTTGTCAAGTTCAAGCTTGTGTTGATGTTCCGATTCACACTTAGTTGCTCTCCTACTCATGTGAATGTGTTCCAATAGTTCAATCTTCACTTTGTCAAGTTCAAGCATGTGTTGATGTTCCGGTTCACACTTAGTTGCTCTTCTACTCCTGTGAATGTGTTCCACTAGTTCAATCTTCACTTTGTCATGTTCAAGCATGAGTTGATGTCCCGATTCACACTTAGTTGCTCTCCTACTCATATGAATGTGTTCCACTAGTTCTTTGTCAAGTTCAAGCATGTGTTCATGTTCCAGTTCTTACTTAGTTGCTCTTCTACTCATGTGAATGTGTTCCACTAGTTCTTTGTGAAGTTCAAGCAAGTGTTGATGTTCCGGTTCTTACTTGGTTGCTCTTCTACTCATGTGAATATGTTCCACTAGTTCAATCTTCACCTTGTCAAGTTCATGTGAGTGGTAGTGTTCCGTTTCATCACTTGGTTGCTCTTTCACTCATGTGTATGTACTTTCGTTAGTTCAACCTTCACTTTGTCAAGTTCATGTGCTTGGTAGTGCTCCGTTTCATCACTTGGTTGCTCTTTCACTCTTATGCACTTGCTTCGTTAGTTCAATCTTCACCTTGTCAAGTTCATGTGTGTGGTAGTGTTCCCTTTCGTCACTTGGTTGCTCTTTTCACTCATGTGCATGTGCTTTCATTAGTTCAACCTTCACTTTCTTAAGTTTATGTGTATGATAGTGTTTTGTTTCATCACTTGGTTGCTCTTTCACTCTTATGCACTTGCTTCGTTAGTTCAATCTTCACCTTGTCAAGTTCATGTGTATGGTAGTGTTCCCTTTCGTCACTTGGTTGCTCTTTTCACTCATGTGTATGTGCTTTTGTTAGTTCAAACTTCACCTTGTCAAGTTCATGTGTATGGTAGTGTTCCGTTTCATCACTTGGTTGCTCTTTCACTCGTGTGCATGTGCTTTCGTTAGTTCAGCCTTCAAGTTCATGTGTATGGTAGTGTTCCGTTTCAACGCTTGGTTGCTCTTTCACTCATGCGCATCTGCTTTCATTAGTTCAACCTTCACCTTTTGAAGTTCATGTGTGTGAAAGTACTCCGTTTCACACTTGGTGACTCTTTCACTATGGGATGGATGACCGACATTTGGCTGCTACTACTATGGGATGGGTGACCGGCATTTGGCTGCTACCACGATGTGATGATTTGATTAGGACTAGAAGTCTCTCTCTCTCTCTCTCTCTCTCTCTCTCTCTCTCTTTCTCTTTCTCTCTCCCTCTCTCTCCCTCTCTCTTTCTGTCTCTCTCCCTCTCTCTCCCTCTCTCTTTCTTTCTCTCTATCTCTCCCTCTCTCTCTCTCTATCTCTTTCTCTCTTTCCCCCTCACCCACTTTTTCTCTCTCTCTCCCTCTTCATCTTGCCCTCTCTCTCCCTTCCCCTCACTTGGCATATGACTAACCCTTCTTCCCTCACTTGTTACATTGCCAGAGAACGAACGGTAAAAGAAAATCAGGGCTCACTTGGTGGAAAAAAAGGGCAAGGGAAGGGTAGTCGATTCCTTGTGCCGCCAAGAAGAGAAAGGAAAAGACATTTGAAAAAGTGGGAGAAGGCGAAATCAGGGAGAAAGTATAAGTTAAAGCAAGGTCAGTTTGACTCAACCATTTCCCCGACTACATGACTACAAGAAGAGAATGGGCTGATTGAGCACAAGGAGAGCCTAAGGGAAAGGAAAGATTGGCATGCGGGAAGGGCTATGCGTTGACCCCAATGGGGGATTGTACCGGTTTTTGCTTTGTGTGGGATTGTGCAGGTAAGTAAAGGCTTGGGACGCGCTGAGCGGGATAGGGCCGGAAGAAACCGGGCGGCGAAGGGAAAGGGAAGAAGGGGCAAAGGGGCTATGAGACCCTTAGCATAAAACCAATCCATGGAAGTGATCTTGCGTTTGTGCCTTGGAATGTGAACGAAAGAGGGAAGTGCAAACTTACTAAGGGAAATGTGAAGTAGCCTGTGCAATGTGCATGCATGTAAAGGCCCCGAAAAGACTAAGGGGTTTGCACAAATAATGATGGATGAGATGCTTGAGACCCGAGGGGTGCGTAGAGGCGAGGGGGAGGACGGCGTCACCACACCCCGATGATGCCGTAGAATTGCAATGCTTAGGGAAATGGTGCGCGGCCTAAGGATGACGCTTAGCCTGCGCACAAGAGAAGAAAACTCTCAAAGAACCCTTGGACTACCTGCGTATTGGAAGGAGCAATTGCTTGAGAACACAAAAAAAAAATAAAAAAATTTGCCGAATGACCAGTGAGACTACCACGCGGCGTGAGGGTTGAGCTACATCCCCAATGTTAAAGCTCTCTCGCGCGATGACCCACCCCCATCCATCTCAAAGCACTAGGTGGGGGTGACCCTGGGACGAACGGTCCACGCCCTGAGCATGAGCATGGGCGGGCCGAGCCAACTGGGACCCGCAGTGGGATCGACCAAGGCTCGAAAGTCTACTGGGGTTTGGCTTTACAAAAATAGTGGAGGTGCCGGGCATAGGGTTAAACTGACCCTTGGGATTCCGAAGGGGGCGCCCGACGCATTGACGTGTACACAACTAAAGATAAGGAAATTGGACTTATGCTTGCCCTTTCCCTTGTGAGAATCAAATTTGAGAGTAGTTGGGCGCATGGCATGTCCAAGCCTGGAGGTATAACATGCATGCTATGCACTTGATTAGCCATCTCCTTGTGGAATGGCTCTAGCCCTCCTTCGTCCGGTGCTGGTATTCGCCAGTCCGGGGAAGCCTTGGGCAAGTCGCAGGTCGACCCTTCCTCTTCGTGCGAAAGAAGGGCTCCGGTTACCTGGCAGGCGGTTGGTCCTTCGGCTTCGGCCGTGGTCCGATAAAAATCCCGCGGCGGAGTGATCCGACCGAATGGGTGCCCTCCTCTCTTCTTCTTTGAGCCCATGCACTATGCACATTGAAATGCTTGAAGGAACCAACATGAACACAACGGGTCATCAAAAAGGAACAACCCCTCCCTATGAAAGGACAGACAAATGAAGAAAAAGGGAATGAAGGGAGTTGCTAGACTCTAAGGAAAACTAACTCACCCTTGAAGATTCTCACGAGAAGGAACCAATCACTGTGTATGGAAGTAGGGGGAGTGGTACTCATTGTCCTGAGAGAAAATTGTGAGCTATGGGTAGGAAGCGCTGGGTGCACCAAGGGAAAGACACTTGTACTATATGTGTCCCACTTGGGACTTGTGTTTGCATGATGGGATTTGAGCGTCCTGCCTTTCGGAGGAAAGGACGGGTCTGCACCGGCTGGTGCGGGTTGCGAAACGTCTCTCTCTTTGAAGTTCGCCGGGTTTCGTGTGCGGAGGTCAGGTCACCGAGCAGTCGGACGGGAGTTTGTCTGGCCGGTTGATTAGTAGCATTCTCACCCGGGAGGTCCGAGCATGGCTCGATGATCTTGCCCGAGCGGGGTGCGAAACGTCTTCTTAGTCGGGGCTTAGCCTGTTGACTGGCGGGGGGAGTACCACTGCGTGTGGGGCAAGGAAGGGACCTCGGAGACGATTAGTAGCTTCTCGTAGTACGGCTTGGGAAGGGCTGATTTTTCTCGGACCGATGGAAGTGAATGCCCAGAAAGCTGACTATTGCTCCTAACGAGGTGCGCGAGGTGATTCCCGGTACCAACGGGGGTATACAAGAGCGGCAAAACAGGATGGGTTATATTGGGCAAAAGGAGAGGGGTAACACCCTGTGCCGGAGCCTGGGTACCGCGCTCGCGACGGTTGAGCTGCGCTTGAGGTATGGGATAAAACTCTGTCAATAGTACCAGCGGAGAGACTATATTGGGATAGGCCGATGAGGAGATGTCCGGCCCGTATGTGAGATTGCCTGATTTTTTTTATGTATTCCCCCTCTGTAATGATTGAATGAGCTTGGACTGTTGAACGGGGTATGACTCTAGTCTATTCTCACCTCTCTATCTAAGTCTACACGAGTGAGAGATAATTGGAAGAAAGGAGGATAGAGGTCAGTCGGAATGGAACCAAGAGAAAGAATGTTGGGTAGTGAATGGCCGACCGAGGGTGCTATGGGAAGGGTATACTTAGGAGGGGAGGTAAATTAGGGAGACCTTGATGAGGGGTCTGAAATAATTCTCATCTAGGACATGGGTTGACCTGACCGGAAGGGCCGTTTGGTACTCTCTTATGGAAACAGGGATCGGGTGCTGGGAACAAGATGGTGCGGTGGTTGTCATCCCCGATCTATACCAGCGGTCCGGAAATGCCAGTAGATGTAAAGGATGGGGTATCGGTCGTCCTCCCGGAGGATGGGACGTGGACAAATCTTGAGCCAGCATATCAAACCGTAATGTTGGAAGAGGAGGACGCATTCCTTTGGATAGAAATGGTATGGACTAAAGTCAGCTTGACAAGGTTGTCGTCGAGCTTAATGGATTTGGAGTTCCGAGGGACGGTGGAAGCCCGAGGGTGGGTCTACCTGTCGCAAAAGGGGGAGAACGCTATGGTCATAGATTAGGTGCTAGGGACTACGCCGGGCGAATTGTTTAGGAAGGCAGAGAGGGAGGTTGTATAGGCTGCATGTCGGCGGGCGGAAATGGAAATGGAAAGGGTAGATGTGTGAGTGGAACTCGGGGATAGAGGAAGCGTGAGGTGACACGTCAGAACCATGCGATGTGTGTTGCCTCCCTTTCTGGTGGATGCGGTCTTCAGAACCCGGAGCAGGCAAGTATGGATATGTCAGTCCATGACGACCCTCGGACTATACCAATACGTCAGGCAAGACTTCTTCCGATTGTCGGTAGAAATGGGGCCGTTTGAAGGGAATTGGGCGGAGGAGCTGACCGAGATGCTGAACTGCCTTAGCATAGACAATGTCTTTGTCCCTAGCTCTGTGCATTGGGGGATAGTCTACAGAAATGTGGCAGTAGGGGAGACATTATTGGAAGGTGTGAAGGAATTGTTCTACAACGAAGAGGACGACTTCAGTGACGAGGACGAAGATGATGAGGTAGAGGACTGAGACTTATAAGGAGGGTGACTTACTTAGGGAGACCGGGTGGCCTGGTATTGTGCAGGAAGGGAAAGGATGACTAGAGAGGAATTGCTGATGGAATACACCTTCAAGGGATGGGAACCAAGGCGGCTCAAAGGGGGAATATAAATATCTATACCAACAGAAAACGAATGGAGAGGGACCACGTGTGACTGGGTCGGGTTTGAAGTTGCCCCGGGACTGTCATACGTATGGATAGAGCGGATTTGGAACCCAATAAGGGAAGAGGAAGGCTGGGATGAGATAGCGGAAGGCAAAGTGGAATCAATCGGGATGGTCGTTTTTTCCAAAGACGGGTGGCGCCTATTCTGCACTATGCTAGCAACGGGACAGGATCCGATGTGGCTTATAGGGAATGCGGGGGCGCGGACCCGAAAGGAGGGCGAGAGGTTCACCAACGAAGGATGGGACGAAGTCAGTAGTATAGTTGTGATGGGGGGATGGAAGGAACTCAAGTCTCCCGGTCTGCGAACAACAGCTTGGGTGCCTGAGTTCGTGGTCGAGTGGTTTGGGGGTTTTTAGCACATCTTAGAAGTGGCCGACTCCATGAAGGAGGTGCATATAGAGTGTGTCTGGCTGACTGAGGAATTCTATAAGACCTCGTTAAAATACGGACCCTTCTATGGTAATAAAGCCTGGGAAATTCTCGCCATCCTGAGAATAGGTAAGTATGACCGCCTAGAGGTAGACGCGGAAGCCTGGGACGCCATAATTAGCCGGGAGGCGGCTGCCGCTCCATCCTGCGTAGATGATGTTTTTAAATTGTTTGAAGTATTGTGGTTCGATTAAGAGGCCAGAGGAATCAGATATCGTGGGGAAAATCAAAGTATGGGAGGTGCATGTAAACTACGGAGTAATATAAGATAGGGGCATGTACATTAGTTTAGCAGGGCATGCTAGGAGACTAAGAACCAGGAGAGACGTCCGACCACTACGGACGCTGGTGTGGATCGTAGGGAAGAAAAGAAGAACAAGGACTTGAACAAGAAGGGAAACGGTAGGAGGGTAGGCAGTTGCTGAAGGACGGGCCGTAATCCTCTCTGTGGGCTATGCATAAAATCACCAAAACTGCAATGGCGGCAAGACGTGTGCGAACGGTACGCCAGCCCCGGTACCCCGGCCCACCCTGGAATAACGACAGAGGGTGGGAAGTGTCCCTTGCTTCAAGTGCCGACTTTCGGGGATTCGATGTGGAATGGCGGGCCGTGACCTTGGGAAGGGACAACGCCTTCATGATGGTGGAATGTTGGTGGACAGGGATGAGATTCAACCGAGGACCTAGGGATGATTTGTTTCCAATCTAGAAGTAACCGGGGTCTTGTATCTACCCGAGACCGGCTGGCACTCGCTGGGGATAGGAATAACACAAGGCCACGAGCTGGCCCCAGTCTTTCAAAGGGCCGCCTGAGCGTTGACACGAATAGGCCAATCAATCATGGGTAGGAGGAACATCGGTTTGCTCCCCAGGGTGAAAATGGGGGGCTGGAGGGAGTTCAGGGCACCGACAACCTCGCTGAGATGTCGGGTCCTCCGATTCATGATAGACCTCATTTTCAGGAGCCTCGCAAGGGCGCAGGGTCTGGCAGACTCGACAATAATCTGGGTAGATCACTTCCCCCATCAAACTATCGGGATGTTCTATGACGTTGTTGTGGAGCATGGGCCGTTCTGGGGAAACCAGGCCCATGAATTACTAGAAGTTATTAATATCTTGATATTTGGGTTGCCACGACTAGCGTGGGCAGAATACGAGCACATAATTCGGATGGAAATCGAGATAGGAGAGAGTTATCTAGC